CACACCACAGCTCCCTTGGGAGAGTGACGGGTCACTCTCATGTAACCCCGTTACAAAATCCCAGATGATAATATGATAGACTGTGCTGTTGATTAGCTTTTCTGGTTGAAAGACAAAGCGAAAACCTTTAAACAAATTAGATACTCCTAAACTGGTAGTATTCTCTCTTATCGATCTAATTAGAAGAGCACGTTTAGAATATCGAAATGGAAAAGATCACTTTATTCTCTCGAGCATTTCCGAATTAGTAAACCTTAAAACGATAAGAGCTCCTGCGCTAATGAGCAGCGGTGAAATTCGTTCGGATTTTAAGCAAATTTAACAAAATTGCATTACATCAGGATATTTACACAACTGATCGTTATTCACGCCACCGTGCTCATACACGCTAAAAGTGTTTATACAGGAGTGTAACTCTTGTCGCCGCCTTTTCGGCAGGTTCGAGCAATTTCATAAAGCCAGTTGTTGGCATGTGCAATGGTAATATTCGGTTCGCTGTTGTTTGGATTGAATGCAGGGACGTAAATACTTTCGCTGCCAACGTGTACTGTGCAAACGCAAATATTGTGTTCATTGAGCAAAATAGTAAGCGGTTTGCCTTCCCAGAAATGCAAGCACTACTACTAATGCTGATGCGATTTCACCGCTCAGCTCTACAATTTCAGGTTTCTTGTTGATCTCAGGAACATAAGGCACGACAGCAATTGCATGTAGTAGACACGCCCGTAGCTGCCGATATCACAATGTGCATACATGTTCTATCTTATAATACGATTGTGTAACGAAAGGGTTAAAAAAACATTACCTCAATGCTGCCAAAATTATTGAATTTTAAAACTTTAACGTGCTTCAAAAATGTGGCGACGCGGCTCAGCGTTGCGGCAGCGTCTGGCACTTAGCGAAGAGGTTTCCGAGGCACTGTACGGACGCGTGAAGAAGCCTGTCGTAGCACTTGAATCCACTATTATCTCGCATGGTATGCCGTTTCCTCAAAACTTGCACATGGCTAAGCATGTGGAGGAGATTGTGCGGTCACACGGGGCATGTCCTGCGACGATCTGCATTGCCGATGGGAAGTTGAAAGTAGGACTTACTGAAAAAGATCTAGTGCGGCTGGCAGAGCTCGGAGTGAAAGCTAAGAAATGCTCGACAAGGGACATTGCGGCCGCGGTCACGGAAAAGAAGATGGTGGGCGCTACCACAGTCTCTAGTACAATGTGCGAAGAGAAAGAGTGATGGTTCAGTTGAATACAAATTATTGGAGCTTTATGTAGGCGGATTGCCTATGCAGCTGGTATCAAAGTTTTTGTCACGGGAGGCATTGGAGGAGTGCATCGCTTTTGCGAGGAGACGATGGGTGGGTGAAGTCGTAAATTGAATTACTTTGCATGAGCTCAAAATCTAATGGTATTTCAGATATTTCGACCGACTTAATGGAGCTGTCGCGGACGCCTGTTGCGGTTGTTTGCGCTGGTGTCAAATCTATTCTTGATATCCCACGCACTTTGGAATATCTGGAGACTCATGTACGTGAAATTTGCGACTTGACTTAACTCTGGTGAATTTACAGCTCTCACCTCTTTTGATGGTGGGTGACATTGTAGAGTGTTCCGGTGATCGGTTATCAGACGGACCAATTTCCCGCATTTTTTACTCAAGATAGCGGTGAAAAGGCTCAATTGCGTTGTGATACACCTGAAAACATTGCACGCTTGATATTCGAAACTGATGCGCTGGAAATGTCTAATGGCCATCTTATCGCCGTTCCGAATCCAAAGCCTGTGCCTTCTAAGCTAATCAATGATGCGATTGAGGTATGTTCATTTTAAATGGAAGATACGAAAGAAACATGTATTTTACAATCGTATTTACTTTCTATAAATCAGCATGGGTTGAAGGAAGTTCTAGACAAGAAGATTCATGGGCAGGCCGTCACACCTTATCTGCTCAAGCGAGTGAATGAGATCACGCAGGGTCTCTCTCTCAATTCGAATATTGATTTAGTCAATAACAACGCCACTGTCGGTAGTCAGGTATGTCTCATCAAACATAATTTGTTGTTGGAATTACTGCTGACCACTGCGTTATTCGTATAGATTGCATGCGCACTTTTTGATTTGATGGGCTCGACATGCTATAATTCTGAAGCAGACGTTACGTACTCATTACCGGAAAAGGTGTTTGTGATGACTTCGGATACATGCTGGATCTTTAATTAGCTGACAGATAAATTACAGAAAGCATCCGTTGCCAAAACTAGTAGCCAGAAGCGTGTGCTTGTTGTCGGCGGACTCGTGCTCGACATAATCAGCTCGTCTACATCACGACTCATTCACGGCACTTCTAATATTGGAACTATAAAACAGTCAAGTGGAGGTACGATCATTATGAACATTAGGTCATAGATACGCTATGTCGAACCGATCGGTATATGCTAGGTGTCGGCAGGAATATTGCAGAATGCTTACACCGGCTTCAGCTTGAGCCTTTGCTCGTGTCTACCGTCGGGAATGACTCATCAAGCTCGATCCTTTTGGAAGATTTGAAGAGGCTTGGAATGGATACTAGTGGTATCACTGTTTCCGGCAACCTGTCTACGGCTGTATGCTCAGCAATCTTGGACTCTGGTGGAGACATGGACGCTGCCATTGCAGACATGAGTGCGTTTGAGTCAATTGTAAGACTTTTAGAACTTTTTATCAGCCCACATTTAAGAAATTAATTTGTCTTTATGATAGAACAGTGAGGCAATCTCTGATCAGGATATAGGAAACGCAAAGCTTGTGATCGCAGATGGAAACTTATCATCAAATACAATCGGAGACCTGTTTATGCGAAGTTCTCGACTTGGTGTTGATACTTGGTTTGAGCCAACTTCGGTTCAAAAATCTGTCAGAGTTTTGAAAGGCAACGGTATAACTTTTACAAAGTACATGTCACCAAATGTTGATGAACTATACGCGATCAGTGACGCCGTACAATCAAATCTGAAGGACAAGAACGTTGGTGAATTTTTTTTGAAAGCTCAGAAAAGTTTTGATCTTCTAAGGAACTCAAGGTCTATTTCAATGTCGGAGATGACCCGGCTTAAGAACAGTCTCATTACAGGTACATTACGTTATTGTCGATATAAAGTAGTATATTGTGACTCAGGCGTTTGGTGTTAATGATTATAGTGCTTCTGGCTATGGCCGATGACGATACCAAGAAGACTAGACACGTGCTCGTTACGATGGGTAAGCATGGCGTTCTCGTTGCTTCTATCAACATGGTTGCAAGCGATCTACACGAAATGGTCAAAGAATGCGACTTCGATGTCGAGATATGGGGCATGCAATATGTTGATAAAGTTCATTTCGTCACAATGGTCCACCTTCCTGGATTCGATATTGCAGCGACGAATTGCACAGGAGCAGGTATGTGAGAAAGCACAAAGTGAACAAATTTCACGATCGAGTACAGTATTAATTTGTAATTGCGGATATGCAGGCGATAGTATGGTAGGTGGAACAGTGTATGGTTTGCTGAAGGGACATCATATTTTTCGAAGCTGCCACATGGGCATGATCGCTGCTCGTGAAAGTCTAGTGTCTGAGCATGCTATTAGTCCAGACATATCACCTGAAAAACTATGCAGGTAGTTGGGAGTCTTGAGTAAGGGAATTGACAATTGAAAGTATTTGTTTCACGCCAAATCGCGCACTAAAAATTGTGCCCAAGTTGTGCTTTGACTTGCAATGTACCAAGTCCCAGGATTTCTAAAGTTGCTGGAATTCAGTAGCGAATACGTGAATGAGTCGCACAACTTCTTTCTGCAACCCATTATTGTTACTCGCAATGAAAGCTCGAACGGCATTTTGCTCGCTAATGCTTTTAGGATTCTTGGTTAATTTGCACGAGATCTATTCAATCATCATTGACAATATTAGACAGTCAGCTTAACGTGCGACACACTTGACAACCGTACCTCGTAGTCTTCGTCATTCGAAATATCTTTCATGTCGTATATGCCTTCACAAGTGGTACCACTGCTTATGGCAATTTCAAAGGAAAGTTTAAAGCTAAAGTCAAACAGGTAACGCTTTTTTCCTCGCACAACACAAATGCTAGCGTCTCCCGAAATGTTGTCCGGTGCTTTCAAAGTTGCCTTCAGGTTGCTCTCGGCGTAAGTTGCCCCAGTTAAAATTTCTTTCCACTTGTCCTTGGCCCACTTAGTTACGACACGCTCTTCAAATGTGCCAGCTTTATTCCAAGCTGAGCCATCATGTTGCACAGGTTTCGCCTTGATGCACCAGAACACTCGCAATTAGTAAAGTCAAGACCTTAAGAGTTTCCACAACACTTACCTCTGCAGGATTAGTTTCAATTTTCTGCGGTGCAATGTCTCCGATAAGAGTCTTTTCCTCTTTAGATAATTCACGATGGAAGTAAGGCAAACCATTCTTGTAGCCACGAATTTTTTCGGGCAGATCTGGCTCATCCGTCACCACGATAGATGACCCACTGGACGTCGTAGACTGTCCGCTACTTAACGATGAGCTCGACGATTTTGATGGTGGAGACTTTGTTGGACTCGTAGTACGTGACTTTCGGGGTGGATCAGGCTTCTTAGGAGGTTCAGGCTTCTTGCAGATGCGCTTGTGAAACTGCCAATCGCTCGCTTGACACTTGCGTTCACAATAAACGGCCTTTTTGCAAATACTACACTTGAGCTTACTACCAACTTTATTACAATTGCGGCATTTGGACTCGGATGTATTTTCAGAGGACACTGTCTCAGGTTTCTCCATGTCTTCATCTTCCAAGTCCTTCCCAATGTCTTTAAATCGAGAGTAATCATTTACATCAACCTTGACCTCTTTAGTACGCTCGATGAGCGAGTTTGAGTCCAAGTCGCCACTAATAGGGGTAGAAAGAGGAGTTGGATCCCAACCCACATTTAAATTTGCGGCGGTTGTTCGAGGTACAGACGACATGTTCTAATGAATGTTGATTGATAACTGATGTAGGGGTCATGATCGAACTTTCTCGATATTTCAATACCGTAGGGTGATATGTAACTAGGATCCGACCCAGCACAAAAGCATAAGTGACACACCATACTAAAGCCTATAGTACCTGTAGTAAAGGGACTGCCCAATATTGTGTGGTCGATAAAAGAAAGGCCTCAAACATATACGTACATAGTTGTGTAATTGCTATACGAAATATTGCTTTAACCTCTCCCGCCATTTTAAAAAAGAAAATTAGGATTGAATTGCAATGTCGCTGTGCGCTAAATTAGGCTTTGATGAGCTTAATTTTAAGTACTTGACACCAAATCACACATGCCCAATCTCAACTAATTGACCGACGGGATGTTTAGACAGAACGCATTGATTACGTGGTGAAAGACATCTTGTAGGGCACTTACGAAGATAAACTAAGGTGCTGGAGCGATTAATACTATTGCTGAGATGAGGCGATTATTTGAAAGACGTTTCTTTTTTTGAATCTACATTTGAAAGCTCATGCACAAAAGAAATCCAAACACATCATATATTCTACACAGGTGTTGCCACAGATATTCCATTGCAAAATTGTTGACAGTAAATTTAAATTGGGTTCAAGGCCACTATCAAAGTTAATTATCGGATACATCAAGAGATCCCGTGGTATATGTTAATTCGAGTACTGTAGCTTCTGCACCTAGAATGCAACCTTGCAATTCTTTCAGGTATGGACTACTGCTAATTCCCTACCGTGTTTAGATAGGTTGAGCTTGCCACTCTTTCCTGCGGGTTTTATCCCCAAGGCGATTCGTCCCAAAGACGCCCATTTTTTGCGCCAGCGGCATGGAAAGCATCAAAATAGCCTGAAGACTAGCGGACTCATGCGGCGGAAAAGATCCGGCTTAGCCAGGTTGCCATCCTCAGCCAAGACCCAGTCGACGTTATTGGCACCCGCACATGCAATGGAGACGCTTCTGTAATTCGACACTTTTGCATGCAAACGAAAGCAAAGCAAATGCAATTCTCGAGACTCTAAATGCAACGCCACTTGAGGTTGAATTGCCGACAACAAAGCGACGCAGAGCGATTAGACATAAAAGTGCGCTCAAGCGCTTTACAGGAATAATGCGGCAGTAAGTCACGGTCCTCAAGGAGGAGAGAAACTTAGACAAACTGATGGTGCAGCGGGTGTGGCTGCATTTATACATCCAAAGTCTGTCGTAGAGACTAAAACAGATCTACTAATCACTTCTACTGATACGGAAAGAGCACGCGAGAGGTGCAAACTTGTGAGTTTAGATTATAGCAGTCAAGTATGGGTGACAACACAGAAAGTGAAGGAAGTTCAGAGTGTTGCGGACTGAGTAAAAGCCAAGATATCATGTAAGAAACACGATTGGTTTTCCAAAACCTCACTCGATTTCCATTGAGACTTGGTACGACTTGTACAACCGACGTGGGCTTTCTAAGTAAATACTGAATGAAATCGCCTTTTTCTACTTGGCTCAGAATATGTTGTCTGAAATGGCGTGTTTTTGCTGAATGCATCCATTGTTTGGAAAGTGATCCCTGGTCACGCCTTATCATTGTTGTAGCGCATCTTGCAATCCATTCGCACGAAAAATCTTTTGATTATTGACAGCCAGTCGTACTTTTCTTGCTCGGTTTTAGCCTTTTCGGTCGAAATCCAACTAAAACGAGATTGTTATGATGATTTCGGAAGATGAACAAAACGCTCCAGACTGTCGAGACATCGTGACTCCTATGTGGCAATAGACACTGGAATTTTTTTTGGAAGACCAAGACAAAATGTCTTGGGTTCCATTACGGATAGAATCGATGTGGCGGGATCTAAGCGCGAAGTTTCGCTTCCTAAAAACTCATCCCTTTATAGTGGTCAAGATTCAATTGATGCATGATGGTACCTAGGGTTTCGCAAGCCTGAAGTCTTTTTGCAAGAACTATGGTAACTCTGACGGGGATGCAGCGGGGCTGCCGTACGTAGCTCTTTGTCTAGAGGAAGCTAAGCTAATATCATCGACCATACGTTCTAGACTAGAATCAGTATGAGTGTAGCCGATCGCAATCCGCTACCTACTGAAACTGTATTTATTTGATATATTTGCAGCACAGCCAGCTATATCTAAAACCTTAGATTTCCTAATATATATGCGTAACTAATGGCAGTCCCGCCACGTCGTGGCTTTTTGTTACGGTTAAGCCACACCATTTTGTAATAACACCGACTTGTGTAATCCACACCTTTGTACGGTCACAACATCTTGTTTGGCCCACCTTTCATACAGGTGTACGTGCAACCCCATTACAGCCTTCCCCATCAAAATTGTGAATACCCACAATTCACATTTAACTGTCGCCCCGTACGAGCTTCGCGTGCCTGAGACACCGTTACGTCCCTAGGACCACCCTTACATATTTTCTGCTCAATGAGCCCTGTGTCTATGACACGAAACCCACCCAGCCGAGCTGATTCCGATGGCGCTCGCGAGCATTGCCCTTCTTCGTTTTCTGCGCGCGGTGCATCTCCGAACAGTACATCTGTGGCCTCACGGTAAGCAAATCCTAAGCCTTCGGTAGCCGAGCTGCCACACCACGGGCGACGGGATTCCTCGTCGAGAATTTGGAGGAATTCGACTACGAGTTGCATACTCCATTCTCGGGATGGGAAGAAGTGGAGAGCGTGGTGCGCCAACGGCACGACGTGAGCCCTGCTCGAACCTTGCGGACACCGTGTTCGTTTTCCGACCTCTCCACTTCCGGAAGATATGGTATCATTACCAATCGCCTCGACGAGTCTCAAGAGCAGTAGTTGAAGGCTGCCTATAGGGCATCTCATGCTCCCACATTTACGGTCGGACCTAAATCTTAGTGTGGAATGCGGCTTCCGCTCGGCGGATCTCGCTGCTAAAGCAAAAGACGCGATCACTTGATCGTTGGACGTCTACGTAGTCGGGCCCCCGGCCACTATGCAAAAGAGAAGAAAAGAGACTGCTGAGCATGACCAACAAATAGCTCTCCGAGCTCGCTTCTTGGTACCTCAAGAAATCCTATTTGATAGGTATCGCGATCGACTTCGCGCTCAAAGAGGAGGCGCTCCTGCACCCACAACGCGGACTATTCCTGTGGTGCTCGCCCCTGGCGAAACCGCTGCAGATGATATAGAGCTCTTTGATCGATGGTTGCAGCGACACCAAAAACTTTCCTCGCTGTCTAGCTTACAGCGGAGCCACAAGGAAGTAACGTGCGCGTGGAGCGCCATCTTCGATTTGAATTCGTCAGACTCAAGGCACAACGCTGACTTCCTGCGTACTGTCGCCCTGCGACGTATAAATAATTCATCACGCCCCCGCGAATCTGTGGTTTCTCACATAGGTGAGTCTACGACTACAGCAGCTCAGGTTTATAGCTGAGCTCAGCTCATGGGCCTCCAGCTTCTCGGGCTTCTGCCGAAAAGCGCTGGGCGTATGACGACGCAGAGCGTCATGATCCTTCTGATCACAAGCGTCCACGACGTCTGGGCAGTCTTGCTGAAGTGGCACTTTAAACTCTCACGAGCTCTCGAAGTCGGGTTCTTTCGCGATTTCTCAAGATTCTGGGTTTGACCTTGGCGACGACGTCGACCCACAAGCCGTTCCACGTGATAGTGGACACCACCATTTTTGTTGAGAAGAGTCGACAGTGGACAATGACGACTGGGTCGAAAGCCGTCCGATGACTCGGGATGCTCTTCGAGCTTTTGCGGACGAGGTCCGTCGCGATCGGGACTCCGCTGAGAATCATGCTGGGGTCACATCCCGCTGCGCAGAAAAAATAGAGAGGTTGAAACACGTTGAGGACTATCGCGCTCTGTTTAAGCGGCTCCTTGCCGTCGAGCAAACGAATACGTCACTTCGTGGGACGGTGGAGCGCCTTGCGCCGTTGGAAACGGAGATCGTTGCACTCCGTGCTGAAAAACATTTGCAAGTTCAGCTTTTGGCTGGCCGAGCGTCTTTGAACCTCGCCCCGGCGCTAACGCCTCCTCGTTTACTTGCGCCGGATCCCGGTATGGCTTAAGCAAGTTACCATAAAAATCGGGTGGATGCGCATCCTTCTCGGTAAGCTTAGCGTATACGCAAGGCTACGCTTGGCTACAACCTTGAAAGGTCATATAAATCTTGTTCGGAGCTTCGTCTTGAAGAGTGCATGGGTAGGAACGTTATAAGCATTTGATACAATCTGGTGTTCGACCTCAACGTTTTAATCATCTCCTCTATCAATGTCTTGACGATCAGCCATCGCATCGCATTCGTGTCCTAAGACACTTGGTCTGGTATGTAGAATGTCTTTGACTTCTTTGCGAAACGTGAGAGGTTTGACATCAGCTAAACGCTCGGCTATTCCTCTTCTACCAAGTTCTAAACCATGGGATGGTGGTGTCAGCGGGACGCGAGGATTAACAAGTTTTTTTCACGTAGAACAGCGTGTAGCCGATATACGCATACACTGCATTGTTCAGAATGAACTATACAAGTGGCAGCATGGCGCTCCAGCGCTTCGGTGTCTCAGCGCAGACGATGCAGAGAATGACGCGATTCACGCGCTCAGTTTGACCATCGGTCTTCGGATGGTCCGCTGTTGGCATAGTTAGCTTGTCACCCAGCACCCTGAAGATTGCCGACCAAAACTTCTAAGTGAATCGTGGATCTCTGTCAGTGACAATCGACTTCGGGAGTTCATGTTGTCGAAAAACCCGATTCGCAAACAGCGTAGCTGTACCCATACCATCGATTGTATCCGGCACTACAGCAAGATGAGCCATCGTGCTCAAACAACCCACAAAGACCACCACACCGTTGTTGACCGCCGAGTCCTTCGGCAGGCCAAATACAAAGTCTATACTCATGAACTGCCAACACCTGGAGGGTACCGATAGACTGGCCAGCTGTGCCGCCGCATGACACGATTTACACGTGCGCACAGATGTGCTCGTTCACTTTTACAGCTTGAGCCAACAATAGTGGCTACTTACTGACCTGTACGTCTTCTCACGACTGAGATGAGGACTAAGTAGGGTGACGTGGGCCTCATAGAAGATACGGTATTTCAATTTTTCATCGTGAAGAACCACAACTCGTGGCGCATCCGTCTGATCTGTGCTATAATACATCAAGCCGTTGCTCAACGAATATCGGTGTAACCGTGCGCGGAAATGCGCCGACAATTTCTTGTCCGAGCTTTCAAACTCTTTGCTCCAGAGAACCCGTAGCAGCCCTTCGAGCATATTACCCGCGTACGCGGTGCAGATCAAATCCTTCTCTGACGACGTCCGTCGTGGTACATAGTCCGGTCTGCGTGACAACGCATCAGCCAAAGAATTCTGCTTTCCTGGCTTATACCTCACCTCGAATCTATATCTTGAAGAAGAAGAGTTGCCTGGCCATCCTCTGTGAAAGTTGAGGCGACTGAGTCGCGGTTCGCAATGACGCATGATAATGTCGATCACGAACGGCTTGGAGGCGAGAAGGACCACCCTGAAGTGCGTACTTCATCGCAAGCAATTTCTTGTCGTGGACTGGGTAATTCTTCACCACACCCTCAAGCTGGTGAGATTCAAACGCGATGACCCGATCTCGCCTCTTGTCGTCTACTTGCAGCAGTGCACAGCCGATGGCAAAGTCCAAAGCGTCACAGACGACACTAAAAGGACGATTGGGTTCTGGCAACACCAGTATTGGTGCATGAAGGAGGCTGTCTTTGACAAAAGCCCCTTATGCTCGGTGTCCCAACACATTTCCGTATCCTTTCTAGGAGAGTCGACAATGGCCGTGCCATATCCGCATAATTTGCGTTGTACTTGTGCAAGTAGTTGGCGAGGCCTCAAGTTCTTTTGGCTCTTTGGAACCGGCCAGTCCACAATGGTCTTGATTCTAGCGGGCTTCCCAATGAAGCACCTGAAAGGGAATCTCTTCCGCGACAAAAAAGCACTTATCTGCGTCAGCATAGAGCTTATTCGTGCGCATGCACTTGAGCACTACTCTCAAATTGACGATGTGGTTTTCCACATCTGTCCTCCCGTGCTACGCACGACCGTGGACAAAAATGTCGTCGAATTATGTCTGTGCATACACCCGATGGGGCCTGAACAATTGCGTCAATGTTACTGGTGCGTTTGACAGCCCCTGAGTCATCACCAGCCACTCCTAGAGAATCCCGCTCAGAGTACTCCCTGCTGTCAGCGAAATAGGTCTCGTTTGCGTGAGCGATACGCCACTTGCCGTTCGGCTTCCGGACACAAACGTGAGTGTCGAATGGGGGGACTTGCTCTCATGCACCATTTCTGCGTCGTGCTTCGCACGGAAAAAGGCGTCAATGAGCTCTGTGGCTAGGTACCATTGCCGGGCTACGCAGTATTTGGTTCCCGGAACCAGGTTCATCTCACGAGGCACACCTCGGTCCGGAGGTAGGACCGACGAAGGGTCTTTGGAGACGACGTCTTGGAACCCCTTTACCAATGGATAATAAGGATACGAGTGATCCTCCAGGATCGACAATCCACTTCGTGTGTTCAGTACCCTCTTGGTATTCTTTAGGGCAGCTTTATCTCGAAGCGACGACAAGTTGATCTCCTCGCTCGGTCGTATAGTTACCACCTTTTCAAAATCGCCTGCCTTCAAGGCGCTGCCAAACTCTTTGAAGAACATCTCGTCCAGCTCAAGAAGAACATCCACCGCGGAAAAAGCCTCAGGGGCGCCGTCGCCGTCTTTCTCTCCCGTCATACCGCTGACAAGGGTAAATAGCTGTGCGCTATCGCTAACGGTAGCCACACCTAGGGTCAGGGTCGATGCTTTGCGTCTTGCAGATGTCATTCGACTTCGCCGTCTCCTCTCTCTAGAAATTTTACTTCGGGACCAGTGGGAACACGCACTCAGTGTCGTCCAGTGTGTCTACTCCCTGCGCCATCGGAGCCACGATGTTGTTAACACCATCCGACGAGAAGCTGCTATTTGTACAGTCCTCGTACAGTGGATAACGTGCCATTTTACACGCATCGGAAGGGCCTTGCCCAAGATGCCTCGAGCCTCGTCTGACCAAGCCAATTTTGGAATGCAGCAACTACTTCAAAACGTGAACAGAGCTTAGTGGATTCCGTGCCACTCCACGCGCATCGTCCTTCACGCTGGATCGGACCTTGGCCGTCCATGCCACACATGGCATGCAACGACTGCTCCGATACTTGATCAGCGCTCAGTGGGTAACATTCCACTACACTTTCAGCAAGCGAGCCATGCTCGGGACACCTGTCCTATACACCTTCGTTTTTCGACAACTCGGATACACCGATATCCAGTACGTTGAGCACCTCTGTACAGTGCTCGCGCCAATAGCGTTTCTTCCTCCTACCAGAGGTGGGTTTATGACTCACCAAAACATAACCAGGAGACGTGCACATAGCACCCAAGGTCTTCGACCTCCAATCAATCCATGGCTCATCGTTTGCCAGCCATGTCATACCAAGGATGAGGTCATACTTTGAGTCCAAGTCTAAGACTAACCAGCGTCACACGCTATCAAAGTCAAGAAACTTGACATCGAGGTCCACAGAGACCCTCGGCACCGAGACACATGTCCCCATCGCTAAGCAAACTGTAACAAATTCACTCAGCCGCGCCTTCCGCGCCTCGGCGTACAGTCCATCGTGGAGCGTTAGGCATAATTTCCCCACACCGGATTCGATTAGGATATTCCATGGCTTCTCAAAGCCCTCCACGGTCGCTTTCATGACTAGCGAGCCCAGCTTGCATACACGTTTGTTTCTACGTGAACGGAGATCTTTGGGGTTGGGCTCTGCTGCCCCTTACCTCTTTAAAGCTCGAAATAACTCAGTTCTCCCTCGGTAGGGCTCCCCGCGTCTACTGGGTGTTGTCGTTTCCCTACAACAAACCAGAAGACTGGTGAGAAGCGGTACGTCGGCTCGATGAACCTTGACGCGCCTTGCGTAGGGGACAACTAGTCCGAAGGTGACGGCATTCTCCACAGACAAAACACCGTCGGGTGTTCAAATGCTGCTCGGCAGCTCGGAGCTCTGCCTCTTCGTCCTCAGCATAGCCAAGATCCATCGGCTCAGGCCCGCTCGGCAAGCTGCTCAAGTGTGCATTTCAACCAAGTCATGTCGACTTATAGATTGAATTCGGCATACAATGCCACATTCACTGCTTCGTTAACAAAAGGAGGATACACACGGAAGACTTCTTTTCCCTCCACGCCAGTGCGAGGGCCCTCCATGAAGACGATCACTGTGACCGCCTCGGGGAGAGGATCGGCTACCATCCTGACAATGAGAGTACGCAACTCTTGGACAAAGTCCACCAATTCCTTTCTACGCTGTCGGACGGCAAGGAAACGCGATTGCATGCCATATGCCTGGTTAGGCGGCGAGAACACTCGCAAAGCCTGCGGCTTCAGCTTCTCCAGGGGGAAATGCCGCACGTTAGTGCCCATTCCATCGCTCGGCCTCCGAGCATGAAGAGATTTAGCGCCACGCGCTGTTTCTCGGTCAGGAATATGGCGGATGCCATAGCCATCTCAGCCTCTCTCACTCAGAGCATGAGATTCACTCCATCCTTACCCTCTAAGGTCTTAACGCTCAGTATGAGCGGCCTGGGTCGGGAGGATTCATCCGTCGTCGAGGTTGGCGTCATGGATGCAGTCGACACCGACAGCTTCTTCTGTAGGTGCTCTAGCCGAGCTTTATACATAGTTTGAAAATGCCTCTAGGTGCGCGCTTATCGCTTCGGGTCCTAACATAGCAATGTGTTGCTCGCTCCATTTTCATAGAGGATTAGTCGTAACGACTCAGGCGTCGATTGACTACACGTGCTTACAAGTGCAGCGGGGCTGCCGCTGCACTTTGCTTAAAGGAAGCTAAGCTAAGGTCACCGACCTTAAGTTCTATACTAGAAGCAGTATGAGTGTAGTGGATCGCAATTCGCTACCTTCAAGAGTACCTTAACTTAGGCAAATACACTCGTCCGTTCAAATTTGAGACTACTTTTCTGTGTTTTATTTGCGGCAGAGCTCCTAACTAAATGCATAACTACCGCCACGCAGTGGCTTCTATCTACGGTGTAGCCACACCTTTGTGTGATCACACCGACTTGTGTAATCCACACCATTGTACGGTGACGCCATCTTGTGTGACCCACCCTTTCATACCAGGGTATGTGTAACCCCGTCACAATAACATCTTTGACGAGCGTTACCCCGCGTTCGAATTTCAAAGTATAGATCGAGTATCGCACATGGAAGATGACCACCAACTGTATACGGCGAATATTAGTTTCAGTCAAATTTCAAATGAAGAATTACAAAAATCATTGCACATCCCACCATGAAATTCCAGGCTTGGTGTTTGTACCTATAGCCTACGTATATGTGCGTACCTTAGTTTAAAAAGCTAACTTGAAAGTACCAGAATAGGTTTGTGCGACTAAGAAGACCACAGCAGTAGTAAGAGTGAAATGACAAAGAGTCTTCGTTATTCCAGTGATTTACTTCTCGCACAGACTCGCGACCTATTCCATACTTACCTCACATCATTATTCAAACGTCGCTATTGCAGATTGAAGAATGGTAAGCCGTTCATCACGATACTTACAACCTGTTTAAACAAGGTTTTGAAGTGAGCTGGAACAGTGAGTGACACGTATTGAGACTTCACATCACTTTTCGCATGATTTGCCGACGGTACTTTATTAGTCAAGCATCATTCACAGTATAATGTACGCCATCATACCAATGCTATTTTTGAACCCTTGGTATTCCAGATTACCTTTAATTAAAACAAATACGACCTAGTCAGCATTCTGCACCACAAGTACCGAGTTTAATCCTGCATCCTTTATGAACACAAAATGGGGTCAACTATATCGTTTAACATTAAAATCAGCACTCAGATTGGAATCGATGCTTAAGTGTAAATCTCATAATTACAAAATAATGACATGTGAAAAAAGATAGCGTGAGTGCATATATTCTTTAAAGAGATTTAATAATTGCCTGGATTGACTGATCCAGCTTGAACTTCATCCTCAAGAGAATCAATCATGCTGAGGTTCATGCCAGACTTTGGTAAAATTGACGTTTTTGTGACAGATGAAGAGTGGATTTTGGCCTGATTGCGCCCAGTTTGGATCTTAAACACAGCGCAGAGCGGGTTCGTGACGTTATTATAGACATCGCAACTTGTGTCTGGCTTGATGGCAATTACGTACTTGGTGTCCTCTGCAATTGTTTTGAAGCCATTGCCGATTTGAGGGACGTACACGCTCCAATCCTTCGACGTCAAGACAAACGACACTTCCCGAGACTCACCTGGCTGCAGATCAATTTTCTTGAACTTTTTCAGCATCTTTACTTCTGGAATTGATATCGTACGGTATGGTTGGGTCAAGAAAAGCATGACTGTCTCCTTTCCAGCTCGATTTCCCACATTAGTGATCGTCACTGTAGCAGTGACGGAAGCATCTGCGCTTGTTACAGTATCTGTATCGATGGACAGAGTGGTATAATTGAATTCCGTGTAGCTGAGGCCAGTACCGAAATCCCACTGCATTTCGCAGTGGTTGAAAGCACACTGCGTGTTCACACGATGGTAATACGGTATGGCACTGTTCGCTGGGTCTTTCGGATACGTGATTGGAAGCTTTCCACTCGGATTCACAACACCAAATATAATCTCAGCCACTGCTTGACCGCCAAGTTCACCCGGCAGAAAACCATGGATGACTGCACACGCAAGTTTAGGTAGTGGACCAAGAAGGCGTGGTCGGCCTTCAAACAACACGAGAATGATCTTTGTGTTCGTCTCAGCAAGTGCCTCGATATAAGCAATTTGACCAGCAGGTAAGGCCAAGTCATCAATATCACCCGGTTTTTCAGCGTAGTTTTTCTCACCGATAACAACAACTGTATACTCGTGATGACTAGCAAGTTTGACAGCCTCGGTAAGTTTAGCGTCCGAGTATGTGCCATTTTCGTTCAGGGCATTAAAGTAAGTGAACCAGTCTTCGCCAACCACACATTCAAAGCCATGCCTTACGGAAACCCCATTTGGAAACATTTCATTACCAGAGTAACCTTGCCACGCAACGCTCCAACCACCACATTGATAGCCAATATTGTCGGCAGAGTGACCGGTAAGGAAGACAGTTGTCTGCTTAGGAAGTGGCAGTATATTATTATTGTTCTGCAAGAGCACAATCGATTCGCGAGCCAACGCCAGTGCCACATCCTTGTCTTTGTCGTTTCCGACCATATTTTCGAATTTTTTTCCAGGGACTGGATTTTCATACAGACCCATTTTGAGCTTGGTCTTGACGATGCGTTTAGCAGACTCTCGAAGACGATCTTCGTACTCAGGGTGGTCTAATAGTAAAGTCTTCGTTTGGTTGATAAAATTTGTGTCCATCGGGACCATACTCATGTCAATTGACGTCTGAGTCAATGACATGCGGACCGCATCTTCGTATGTCTCTGCAACTCGGTGCCAGTCTTTGAGGTTTTTAATCTCAGCCCAGTCTGTTACCAAGAGTCCATCAAAGCCAAGATCCGAACGAAGCAGATCGATTAAGATACGGGAATTCGCGACCACAGGCTCACCGTTGATCGAAGCGTAATTCTCCATAATCGTCAAGGCACCAGCTTCAATAGCAGCCTTGTACGGGGGAAGAAAATAATTGAGTAAGTCGAAGTCTGCCATGATGACGCTGTCGCGGTCATGACCCGAAGGAGTTTTCGAGTATCCGATAAAATGCTTCAAACAGGCGGCAGTATGTTCGAGGCTCTGAAGACCGCGGACAAGCGCTTCACCCATGACAGTCACCAAGTACGGGTCCTCACTGAATGTCTCATACGTTCGAGACCAAAGTGAATTTTGCGAGAGATCGAGTATCGGTCCAAAGACCCAGAGGATACCAGCGGCTTGAGTATCACGAGCTGTGATTTGGCCTACCTTGTAAACCAATTTCGGGTTGAAACTTGCACCGCTGTTAATTTGCTGACCAAACATCACAGCACCTCTGACGTAGTTTGCTCCATGAACTGAGTCAAGACCATAAATTATAGGATGGCCGCCGTTTTCCTCCATCGTGATATTTTGAATTCGAGCAACGATAGCGCGCCATTCCGTCGCGTTCCACCCGTATGTATCTTCAACAGGTTGGGACCAGATGGTGTTAAGGTACGAACCAACGTATTGTTGTGCATGTGCGCGAACCTTATCCTCGTCCAATGTTTTATCATCATTCAAAACCGTGCTTATGTCTACCTGGGTCATCTGGCCGATCACTTCATCCACTGAGAAGCTGTCAACAATAATTTGAGCTTTGGCGTCGTATGGGTCATGATGAGCCACTGCACCAGAGACACTAGATTGTGTCGCCGTCACAGCAATGCTACCAGCAGCGAATAAGATTGCACGCATTGAAGTCGCAATGGTCGAGTTTATAATACGTTTGGTAAACGATGGCAGTAGTGCTCGACGGAAAGAAAATTTGAGAGTGAGATGTGAGGACTCTCCCTATCAACATTCGTGTGATAAGTTGGATCTTAATCCGTATGTTTGACGCTCTGTCTGCGTCCAAGTTGAGAATCTTACATGAACCCTCAATCCTTATATAGATTACAAGCTACATCCTCTTGCTCAGAATAGCGTCAGAAGCTATACGCATACTTGTTAAGGTGATACTTCCGGATGCTTTCACCACCTGATCCATTCGCATTTATGTACATGAAGGTACAGCTGTTGATACCGGTGCACTTTGATTTACCGGGAATATTATGTATTTTCAGCGTGTCTACATGGCTTCCGACCAGCATTGTGACGATAAATGCGTGCTTGAGGCTGCACTGTCGTTCGCAGACGAAAGATTGAGTTCTACGTTACTACATCTACAAGCGATATCTGCTTAAGATGTCGGTCGCGAAAATGACCAACCAGACGAACGATTCGCAGCCGAAGCGAATGGGACTGTGACCATCATCAAAACGAAGATACAGCTCAAGCAGCATTGAAGACCGCAACCACATCGCATCTAGAAAGCAAGGTTGTAGTTCTGCGCTTGCATCAGATTTATTGCAGCTCGATCTGCTAGTTCTGAAAAGAATAAGACAAGCAACTTTATTGCTATACTTAATTGATTACAAATCGAGTGTGAGGTAGCTGGCTAGAAGGAAATATGTGGATGAGAGCAAGCGATCGACGAATGAGTCTAAACTTACAATGCATGTGTTCCACTCGTTTAATTCCTAGTATATAATGGAGTGAGCAGTTTGGCTTTCCTTGCGAGTGTAAATGACTCTGTTAGACAGCTACTTCGGCTTGACGGTGCGTATTGAGTATGCGTAGATGGTTCAAATTTTGGTAGATATAGTTGTCGCATTTTTCGAAGAGTACCAAGAAAGCGGGAATTTTACGAGAATATGAGTGACAATCTACAGAATTTTACTTGGGACTTTGACCGACGTTAAGCGGCAGATTATATGAGAACAGCGCGATGTCGTGCAATAGACCTGACACGCAATTTTTAACTGTGAGGCGCGAGGTGACGGGCTACGCAGATCGCAAATAAAAAACTGCTGGTGGCTTGATTTGATAATGCACTATGTTCAAAAAAATTGCGGATCAATCAGAAAATGCATTTGTGCTCTCTCAAGAGCAAAATGAGTCTCGTATTCAATCTGATTGACACAAATATTTAAATAGTCCGTCACATCGGTGTATTCTATCCCATTGCTGTTATGAATAGTACGAGAGATACGGTTGCTAGGAGGCATTTTTCTGGATAAAAGTGTAATTCTCCATACCTTTGATATCCCAATATAAAACTCTAACTCAAAATTTGGTAAGAAAAAAGGCTTTGGTATCAGGTTTGTGACATGTGACTGTAATAATTCTTAGTACATTACGGTTCGGAGGCAGAGGTACCAAAGTATTGGTACTGGTGCCGAGTCTCATTGTTGAAGACAGTAAAGGAGACTTATTTAGTTATGTGTTGCCCAACTTAATTCCAGATTTAAATACAAGAGTAAAGTAGACGAAAAACATCTCAGCTTGCTCGTATGAAGCTGGCAAGGTCCCATTATACTTGAATTGTAACGGGGTTATACGTACCCTGGTACAAAGGGGTGGGTCACATCATCTTATGAGACCACACAATGGTGTGGCTACACCTTAACAAGGAGCCACTACGTGGCTGGACTGCCAGTAGTTATGCACTTTAATTAGGTTTTACTATTTGTTTAGGAAAACCTATGGTTTAAGATATAGGAGGCTTTGCCGCAAATAAAACCGAGGAATGCAATTCACCTTTTAAATGGAGGACTTAATTAGCCTTGGGTAAAGGTTGCAGTTACTCTTGGAGTAAGCGGATTGCGATCCGCTACATTCATACTGGTTCGAAGTATAGAACGAAGGTCACCGACCAAAATACAAGCTTCCTCTAAGCGAAGGGGCTGCCGCAGCAGCTCAGGACCATAGCTTGAGCTCAGCTAGTGGCCCTTCGCTTCCCTGGCTAATGCCGAAAAGCGCGGGCGTATAACGACGCGGAACGTCAGGATCCCTCTGATCATAAGCGTTCACGACGACTGGGCAGTCTTCCCGAAGTGGCACTTCAAACTCCCACGAGTTCTCGAAGTCGAGGTATCCCGCTACTTCATAAAGAAACTGGGATTGATCTAGGCAACGATGTCGACTCACAAGACGTTCCACGTAATAGTGGACATCACCATTCTCGTCGAGAAGAGTCGGCGGCTGACGATTACGACTGGATCGATCGCCGTCCGGTGACTCGCGATGCTTTCGAGCTCTTGAGGACGAGGTCCGCTGCGATCGTAACTTTGCTGAGCTTCATACTGGGGTCGCATACTGCTGCGCGGAAGGCCTTGAGAGCTTCGAGCACTCTGGGCCCCAACTGCATCACGTTGAGGACGATCGTGCTCTGTCGGAGCGGCTCATACCCGTCGAGTAGACGAATACGTCACTTCGTGCGACGGTGGAGCGCCTTGCGCCGTTGAAAGCAAATATTGTTGCATTCCGTGCTCAATACCAGTTACCGGTTCAGCTACAGGGTGATCGAGCGCCTTTGCGCGTCGCCAACGCTTCCGCGTTCACTTGCGCCGGATCCCGGTACGGCCACAAATAAGGGTGGATAAGCATCCGTTCGGAAGGTTTTGCGTATACGCAAGGCCACGCTTGGCCACAAGTTTGGAAGTCTCGAGAAACCGTGGACGGAGTTTATCTTAAGGACAGCAAAAACTGCATGGATAGGAAGGGAACTAGCATTTAATAAAAACAGCTCTCCGACCATAGCGTTTTTTACATCCCTTTCACCTCTTCCATCTGCATGTATTGGCTATCAGTCATCGCATCGCGAACGTGTCGTAATACACTTAGTATGGTAAGCAGGAAGTCATTGAATCTTTACAAACAGTGAGAGGGCTGACATCAGCGAGCCGCTCGTCTATCCTCCCCTACCAAGCTTTGAACCATTGGATGGCGGCGTCAGCGGGACGCGAGGATTAACGAGCCGCTCACGAAGAAAGGCGTGTAGACGGTAGACGAATGCACTGCATCGTTCAGAGCAAACTCTACATAAGGCAGCATGGCGCTCCAGCGCCTCGGCGTCTTAGCGCAGACGCTGCGAATGACGCCCTCGACGCTTCACGCGCTCAGTTTGACCATCGGTCTGCGGATGGACCGCTGTTGACATAGTCAAGTTGATGCCCAGCACCCTGAAGATTGCCGGCCAAGATTTCCCAGTTAATCATGGGTCTAAGTCAGAGACAACTGACTCGGGGAGTCCATGATGTCGAATGCCACGACTCGCAAACAGCGCAGCTGTACCCACACCGCCGATTGTGCCCGGCACCGCCGCAAATGAACCATCGTGATCAAATGGTCCACAAAGACCACCCCACCCGCGTTACCCGCCGAGTCCTTTGGCAGACCAAACACAAAGTCCATAGTCATGGACTGTCGACACCTGGAGAGTATTGGTAAAATAGCCAGCGGCGCCGCCTCATGCAAAGAGGATTTCACCTTTTGATACATCTCACACGTGCGCACGTATGTGCTCGTCCATTTGTACAGCCTGGGCCACCAGTAATGCCAACTCACAGAGCTGTACGTCTTCTCACGACTGAGATGACCATTGAGTGGGGTGTCGTGGGCCTTAAAGAGAATATCATACTTCGATTTCTCATGTGTGGAGCCACAACTAGTGGCATACCCGTCGAGTCGGTGCTATAATACATCAACCCGTAATTCAATTTATATCGGTGCAACCGTGCGCGCAGCCGCGACGACAATTTATTGTCCGAGTTTTCATATTTCTTGCTCTTGAGAACCTGTAGCAGCGCTACACACATACTATCACCCGCGTATGTGGCGCGGGTCAAATCCGTCACTGACGACGTCACCGTCGTGACATGAGCAAGCTCATAATCCCGTCTGCTTGACAACGCATCAGCCAAAGCATTCTGCTTTCCTGACTTATTCTTTACCTCGGAGTTTTATTCTGCAAAGAAGGAGAGCCATCTGACCATCCTCTGCGAAAGGTGAGGCGACTAATTCGCAGTGCATTGTGATGCATGATCTGTGAAGATCACGAACGTCTTGATGCCGAGTAGGGGGACCTCGAGCTTGACAAGTGCAAACTTCATCGCAAGTAAATCCTTGTCGTGGACAGGGTAGTTCTTCTCCGCAGCCTTGAGCTGGCGAGATTCGAACACGATCACCCGATCTCGCACCTCA